TATATTCAAAATTTGGTGCTTTGAAACTAGAATAAATATCAATTTCAAATTTTCACTACCTTTCGAAGACACTTTACTCTGAATATGCTGAAAATTTTATTTAAATTGTACGGAATCCTAATTTTTTCCATCTTGATAAATCTGAGTTTCCTAAATATCGGTCTCATAGAGGGTGTTTATGCTCATCTGTACTCTCTCCTTTAAATATTTTTAACTTTCCAACGAACTCAAATAGTAATTTGAAAGTTGCACCATATTTAGAAGAGGCTTAACCCTAAAGATGCTGAAAGTTTCATAAAAATCCTGTCCTGCGTCCTGCGAAGTCCTGATTTTTGTCTGCTTAGAAAATATCAGTTCTATAATGAATACGTTTACTCAAATCCGCTCGCTCTTTTTAAAATTCGCATCTTTCAATCTAAACTGACTACGAACTTGAAATTTTCACCATCTTTAGAAACCACACGATAGTACAGACCCTAAAAGTTTCAAGAAATGTACAGAAAGCCTGATTTTTTCAGCTTATTAAAAATCACGCAATAAATTATACTCTACTTAAAAAATGTGCAGCATCCAAACTAAAGCAAACAGCAAATTTGAAATGCTCACCATCTTTAAAAGACACCTGACTAAAGATGCTGAAAGTTTTATAAAAAGCATCAGGAATCTTGAGTTTTGTCAGCTTAGTAAATATCAGTCTAAAATTTTGTAAACATCCCTCTCACATTGGATGTTTACTCTSAATTGCCCTTTCACTTTTCAATAATTTGCATCTTCCAAACCAGAGCAAATATGAGTTTGAAATGCCCACCATCTTGAGAAAACACTTGACTCAAAAATGCTGAAAGTTTTATTAAAATCTCCAGACATCCTGATTTTTGTCAGTTTTGTAAATGTGGCTCTCAATATAACATTATTCTCATATGCGCTCTCTCTTAAAATTTAGTTTTGTGCAAACTATATCAAGCATCAATGTCGTCATTTTTTTAATGATGTTCGCGATTTCATAAAGAATCACTAGAATTTTGATCCTCTTCAGCATTTTTAATCAAAATTTGAAAAAAAACAAACTGAAAACTGGGTTTAATTTTGGCAAATAATTCCAAACGCAAAGGTGTTCCAAAAAATGGTCAGAAAATCCGATTTCGTCGATAGCCTTTTTCGAGAAAAATTTAAATTATTATTATTAACTAAGAGCAATATCTGAAAATTGTTTAAGAAAGGAATATAAAATACAAACAGAAGCAGTAGTTATAATAAAACCAAAGTAAACCAGCCGCCACAGTTGGTTTTATTTGAGTTAAATATGAATGGGATGAAATAACAAGTCTCTGTAACAAAATAAATTATAGGGTCTAAAAATCCAGTTATAAATTTAGTAGTAAATATAAGAAATATAAAAGTAAATACACAAAAGATACTGGAAACTAAGCATTTTTTAACAAAAAACTATTTGTGTCAGAAAATGTAACACCAATTGAACCACAATAAACTTTTTAAGCTACAAAACAAACAAAAGTAAAACTACTTCTAATTTTCTAAATGTGAACGTTTAGAAAAAGAACAAAATTAATATTTGCCTAAAGAAGCGTCACATTTATTACATTAATACAAAGTATTTTTGATTCTAATATTTTAATTCTTGGATGAGATTTACGAGAATGGAAATCCACAAGAGAATCGTAATTTTTATTTTAGTCGCAGTCATAAAAACTCATTTTACGTACAAGCTTTAATGTTTAGAGTTAGTGTACAATGTTCCTGTTAGTTACCTACTTTTAAATTCGTACGCGTATCTATTTTCGTTACAAAAAAACCCGTACGTTGCTGATTTATTATTTTCCGAAAAATACAGAGAAAAATCACTGCTGGAGTTTAATGATTGCAGTTAGTAGCGCTTGATTAAACTGCAAAATATTTTGAGATGCTGGATTCACTTAGTCATATCGACAAGGGAAGTCATCAAGTAATCAGCGAGTTGAATAAGCAGAATCGGTTCATCGAAAAATTGATAGGAATTTTCATTGAAAGTGTCTTGAACTCTATATTGACGTGCATTTCTGATAATTGCGAATTGAATGTTAATCGATATAAGAGCTGCAGGAATATGGCTCTAGATGCATTTATGTTTAAGGTATTTAATAGTTTTTAGTTCGAATGAACGATAATTTCAATTTTTTAAATTTATTAAGTACAAAGTTTTAACTTTTCTTGTAAATATGTATTACATTATTTTTACAAAATTATTAATTTATTATTATTGAATATACACTGCGCGACAAAATTAACGCATAGTTTAAATATCCCCCAACTTTTTACTGTAAACTTTTTCTCAGTCGGTGGTCCGATTTGTATATATTTGTCCTATTCTTGAACAAAAAATCAAATTAACATATTGTACAGGATGTTTAAATAGTGTCATATTTTCTTGGTCAAAGTTAATTTTTCTGCTAGCAACATGGGCCAGCTCAGAGAGAAAAAGTACATATGTGATAGCCTCGCGACTTCTGAGCTATTCGAGTGATATTCATTTTCGAAGGAAATTTCTTTAAAAAAGGCTGTGCGAACAGCATTTCATTACAAGTTGGTAGTTTTGTACTGTTTATTTTGTCACTCTCTGTGCTCCGTCAATTAAATTGTTAAAGTTTTTGTTTTTCTAGGGATACAGTTTTTTGTTTTCTGTGCGCTTCTAGTGCATCGTAGATAAAAAAATAAATATAAATAAAAATAAAAGTTTCTAGTTAGTATGAAGTGATTTAGTACCTACTGTACTTTATTTATAAAAAAGTAATCCAGGGTATTAAAATACATCTTTCAGATTCGAGATGCATCGGCTATCATCATAAGTTGTTTATTATTCCCGTGCGAATATGACATGATACCGCATATAAATAGAAATGACACATGTATGGCGGTGCAGGGAATTCATTTTACTGTGCATGTGAATCCCAGAGTTCAATCTTTCATAACAATAATCATCATAACAGAACATAACGAATTTATCCGCGGTTTAAAAAATTGGTTTTGGAATAACAAGCAATGCCGATGCAGCTATGAAGTTAGTTATAAATAAATTAAGTGCCATTTAAAAGTTTCAAAATACCTAAAACGTTGTTAGGCCAGACGCTACAGCTACTTTAGTAGCAAAACAATATTTAGAAATATCACTACGATCGATCGAAAATTCCTATGAACTTTTGGAAAAGCCATGAGAAGTTGATGTTAGGGCTGTATACCTTATACAAAAAGTAGTTACCCATTTCTGCAACGTCGGTTCCCTCTGAACGATTATTTTCAAAAGCTGGACAAGGTGCTATAATAGTAGGAACCGACTCATATTTTTAAATAATATTATTGCAGTTTGATTTTTAAATATAGATATTTTTAATTTAATTTTATGAAAGTATTTTCGTTCTGTGGTTAATTATGCATATTACTTTTAACTCAATGCTTATATTTACTACTTTTTTGAAATAAAACAATAGAAACTCTGTAAATGAGTCGTTTTTAATACTATAACTAATAGTACTTATTCATAATGCAAATATTGATATCACTTTCAATAACTTAATGAAAAAAAAACAGTTAATAAATGAAATATGAACATCATGAAAAAGTGGAAAACTAATTGATTTGAAATTTGAATTTGTTCGAAAAATTATACTTGAAATTACAACTACCGAATAATTCGATGGTTCCCATGAATGAAACATTGCTATCGAATAAATGCAACTATCGAATAGTTCGATAGTTTTTATTCGATAGTTTCCATCAGTAATAAATAGACGATTAAAGATGCAAGTTACTCAGGGACTCTTTCTGTCTGATCTACCCGATATTGCCGACGGATTTAAACTTTGACCAAGAAAACATCATAGTACTTAAACCCCCTGTACATTTTTTGCTTATCATAACTGAAAACGTTGTCCAAGCTATAACTCGAATAAAAAAAATTGTTCAAATCCAATTAACGATTAAGAACATTTTCACAGTAGAAAGTTAGGAAAGATATTTTGCAAAATATTCTTATTAAATCGAACTTCCCTTTTTATACATATAAACAACAAGTACATATAAAATAATTAAAACTAATTATTTTATATGTACTTAATAAAATACTACTTACGGTAAAACCAGTTCATTGTCCAACAGCGGAACTCTCAGCTGTTTAGCTAATTGCGGATCGTGCATTTCCGAGTTTTTAATTTTCTCCAAAAATGCATTTGCAACGGGAATGTACACTAAAATAATTAAATATTTTAAATTTCAACAGCACGGTGCAGTTAAATAGGAATTTTTGCTAAGAGAACAAATTTTTCAAACTCCTTTCGAGATTAAGCTTCTATTTAAAAATATGAAGTGCGATGTTTTTTCTTAGAAGTTTACAGTGATTTTGGAAACATTTGTCTGCAGAAGTTGTTCGAAACTTCATTTTTTTCTTTTAAAATTACATTTTTTTATTCAATAGTAAACGTAGTAAACGTTTTAACACAGATTTTTTTTTCAATTGTTTCAGTTTTTAGTTCAATACAATCAAAATACGTTTTCGTTGGTTGGGGCGGTAATGTTCTTATTTTTATTGCAATTTTTTTTTAAATCATACACTTTTCACATTGTCCAGCTAATGAACTTCGAGCAATACTTGATTGATTTCTGGTTAACATTATGGTTTCTACTAATGATGAATCACAGATTGATGTTGTGATTTTATACCATTTTATTATTAAAAGGTTTTGTTTTAGTGTTCGTATTTGTTTAATGTTGTTAATTTTTTTGTTGGTTTTATACGGGACAAATTAAACACTGGAAGTTTCTCCTCACTTTTGTCGACGTTTCAACCCTTTCATTGGGGCCATCCGCAGTACACTAAAATACAATTATGTTTTTTTGTATCTTTCTTTTGGCGTAATGGTATAAATCCATATGTAGATGAAATACAGTGACTACATATGTACCATTCATAAACAATAGAGTAGGTAAATGCTTTCGTTATCTAAAATTATAAGGATAAGGACGCTACCTACACATTATAACAACACAATATGAAAAACTATGGTCAATTAAAACACTTTACATTTTTGTTCTGTTTTTAAGAGATTCTTCAAATTGATATGTTCAATTTAATTATATTTAGGTAAGAGGAGGACAACCCTTCAATATCTTGTTTTTTATTTGTACTGTGACAGCTCTGCTGGATGTGCACGATCACTGATCAACAAAAAAACTCGATTTTATTGCAAAATGTGCTCCTTCGTTGCCAGTTATCACCTGCGGAAATTCCATCAAAAATCCAAAGTAATCATTATCCAAAAAATATGTTTTTGGTCCCCGAAAAGAAAACTCGGAAGTATTCGGATCAATTTACTGCGGGGATTTTAAATCCACTAACTTTCCGCCGATCTAGTAACGGAATTAATCGAAAACGCCACAATTTACTTACTGTTTTCAATCTTTTGCATAATTATTGTGCCGCCTGTTAGGAGTACCAGAACATTCTTTCGTTCAGCCATCACGTTTGAATAGTTTAGAACAACACACGTCTTAACAATTTTGTTGGAAGACTAGTTGATATTTAGCAAAAACGCTAACTTGCTATAGATTGATTGCTTACATGTACTGATGCTATTTTAGAAGCGAGATTTGATAATTACTTTAATTCGTAACGTGGGGAAACACTGAGGAAAACGTGTATGCGAAATTTTTATCAGTTAGGTCGGATTAAGCATGCCAGTCTGACTATTGTTTAAAATAGAAAAATGTTGCATTTATTTTCCCGTGAAGGAAATGAATATGTTGAGCACCTAGCCAGTGAGATAAATAATTTGATATTGTCGCATAGGTCACAAGAGGCACCTGACGAAACGGCTGAGAAAAGAAAACTTCATTAACTTGTGAAAAGTTCCCATTAATATGAGTTGAAAGTCACAGTGTTTGTTCGAGAGTGATTGAGCAAGACGACACAAGCAACATAAGCATTCTGTAGCTCTTCATATGAAACCGTTTCACTTTGACATGGACTTTCAATAGAATTTTTTTGGAAACATCATGTACATCTTGAATTATTTCGTTAAAACGTAAAAACAGTAACTAGTTTTCTAAACATAGTACCTACTTATCTTTTATCTCAACAATGTGCACCTGAATATTTGATCAAAATTTAACAACGTTGTGCTAATCTAAGCATTAAAAGAACGAACAGGAAACAATGCAATCTAAAAAATAGCACTGTTTTCGTTTACGTCTTTCATTTAATTTTAGGTAGAAAGTTTCCTTTTATTAACAGGTTTCCATACAAAGTTGACAATAAGATTAATTTCGTGCTGAAACTCTCAACTATATTGAGAAATTCTCAAATAAATTTTAAGAAACTCTCAAATCGCAATATTCAGTTTTGGCACGAAATAAATCTCATTGTGAGTTGTGAATGGAAATTGTTTTATAAAGCGAAACTCCTAAAGAGCTGCATGAAAGTCTTCCAAATAAATTATGCCGATTTTAAATCACCCTGTATATTGATTGATTGTATATGATGAGGGGAAGGACATAAAGGTGAAATCAAAGAGTTGTTTATTTGATAAAACAATTAAGAATGTTATGTGGCTTAGATTAAAATTGAATTAATATTTATAGATAAATCCATGTAAAAGTAGTAACAAATGTCTTTTTTAACAAATTTTATATCTTTCAAAAACTGAGAAATGCTTTAGGGACAAGACAGTTAAACGCTTCTTTTTAAAATGGTCTGAAACTACCTTTGAGGGCTTTTTTACCGCAATATTCCTACCTTTTCCAAATTGAAATACATATATTTAAAATTTGTGACTTTGGAATTGTTCTACTAAAACGCATTTTTTTGTTTTCATTCCATTTTAATTTAACAACATCACACTCTTATCGAGCACTGGATTAAACTGGCTTAGGTCAAGTTACATAAAAATGGTGTCATTTAAAGCAAAACAATTCACTCAATCAATTAACGATAAATAACATATTTTTATTTTCAGAAATTCTATTGAAAGGGAGTCAGTAAAATTTAATATGAAAAAGAGATGCTCAAACGCAAAGAAATATTAAAAATACCATAAGTAAGCACTGCACTTACCATTATTACAGTTTTTCTGCATACCAATAGTGCCTCCTACGTAGAGAACTAGCACTTTCTTATGCTCAATCATGGCGCAAAGTTTTACAAATTTAATATCTAAAAAAATTAAATTCCCTATAAATAAACAGTGCAGAAGCACGGAAAACTTAGCTCCAATAAAACTTAATTATAAGAAACGCATATTTACGGGTTACGCTCAGTCTTGTGAACGCTTTAATGAAGCTCTTCTATACTAAGTGATATTGATCAATAGCCATTTGAAAATCCATTTAAATGATATTAAGCAATTTTCAAGTCAACTAAGAAATGGTAATATGAGGCATCGCAATAAATTATCTAAGCGTCAAGGTCAATGATATAAAGTCCATATGATTAGTATACTGTTTGATGTATCTTTTTACTTTGTAAGTATCCAGATAAAGGTTGAATCTGAAAATAAGGCAAAGCGCATCAATGCCGCTAGAAACAATGACAATGAGAAAGACATACCAGTTAATTTCATGGTAATAAAGACATTATACAGGGTGATTTCTAAGTTGACGATTTTCTTATTTTTTCATATGTTTATATTGTTGTTGCCACATTTTCCTTGCAGGTCTGGCTGTTCACTGAATAAGTTTAACTTTTATATGACACATTGCTATGAGCGTTCCAAAATTGTGTTAGATTTATTTTATATTCAGAACTTTTTTTGCCAACTCATCCAGAAGAACACCTAGAAGATTTATAAATGTTGTTAATTTGTCCCAATTCCTAGTTAAAAATGCTGATAATTTGCGAGAACATACCGAGTAGGCCTGAAAATTTTCAAAATTTAATGTTAAAATGGTTTTAATGGATCCAATAAGTAGTCGAGTGATTGCAAATAAGCTGAAGTAAGTCATGTATAAGTATGAACAACCGTGCGACAAAATTTTTATTTTTATGAAAGTACCTACAGTAGTCCTGGGTAACACTGTGTTGAGTTGCGCTTTTGCCTTGATGCCGCTTTGTGAGTTGGTGAGTTATAACGCAACTCGAATTGCGCTGAACTTTTAATTTTAATTAGTTGGAATTTCGTTGGTTTCTATCATCGGTCGGAAATTGAGCAACAGTTTCATTTTTAAGCGATTTCTTTGCAGTTTCTGGTCAACAATAAACAAACTGAAATCGAACTGCCAACTAAAGCATGAATAATCGATAGTTGTTACGAAAGCATGTTTATTCTGTAGTTTGGTATCGACAGTAGACGAAATCACTCAATAATCGCATTCTTAGATAGCAAATATAGAATCATTCTGGCCCTTATATTATAGAAAGTGCGGTAGTTCGTGAAAGTGTAATGTACTTCTTGATAATTAATGGGTAGAAAATGGAGGATAGGGCGCCAGCTTGCAATAACCTGGCAAGTATCATCTCTAATATATAAATCTTTTAGCTTGTACTGAGTTTAGTTTTCCGACAAGCAACTGAAGTTTTATGTTTTCTTTATATTTTTCTCTTTGCCTTGCTGATTTCAAGTAAGGTTGACTTTGGACATATTTCCTGCTGTTCTTAAACACATTTTCTTCTTTCGTTCCAGGTGGCACTACGCAGCTTTCGGTAAGCTTAGCATTACTTTGCCCCTGGTTGCCATGTACATGTAGAACTTTTAGTCCCATATTCATCAACTCACTCGGAGGGTAAATTTGGTATCGGGATTCTTTCGTAGTCAATTTTATATTTTGGGAATATTTGGGGCGGCTTTGATTTTTTATATTAAGCTCATCTGAAGCTTTTCGCTAAAGAACCACTTCAGATATGGAAATCTGATTAGCATCAGCTTACTGGTATTGTGGATTTGATTCCGATTAAAAGATTGATTTTTTCACTACAAATTTTTAAACTTTTTGGGTGGCTTTGTATTTTTGGCAAGATCATCTGAAGCTGGTCTGTAAAGAACCGTTTTAGATATGCAAATATGGGTTCCAGTTTTAAGTTTTTTCTGTCAAGTTTCTACTGGCTTTTCTTTGGAAGTTGGAACTTTTTTATGAAGGGTATGCAGTTCTGTGAAAGCGTTTATTTTCAAATCAACGTTGACGAAGCGCGCACAAATCAGGATTTTATGCGATTTGAATGAACTTTTGAAGGTGTGAAGGAATTTTGACGACATTTGGAGTGCACTCTTCTTTACTGAACGCAAAACTCTGAACTTGTAGAATATTTTTCCTTGCTGAGTTTTTCGTTATAACTCATCGTGTCTCACTGTGCCGCACATTTAATTAGGCTTAGCATTTAGCCCAGGGGCGGATTAAACTTTTACGCGGCCCGGGGCTGGAATTTCAACACTTACCAAAAAAGGTTATCACATTTTTTAGGAGCCACATTTTTTCAAATTAGTGACTGAAACGCAACTGCCCCGGTGAGTTACTGTGCCAGTGCCATTCCTGAAAATTGTTGAAATTGCTGAAAAAAGGGAATTATACATGCCTAACCTATCAGTATTACTTATAAGACGATTTGATACACAATTTTGTAGTAAGTTAGTGTTCAAATATTTGCTCTAGGATATTGGGAAGGCGAAAAATATGGCCATGCAACTAATATTTACGGTATCCTTCAATAAGCGCCATTAAAATGATTTTAAACTTTTAGTCATTATCATCTCATCACAAAAATAAATTTGGCAAGTCATGAAAGAGACACGATTTTTGTCATAAACTGAACAGCAACGTGCAACAATGAATTTGCTGACTTTTTTACGATATCAATTATTAATTGGGATAAAGGAAAAAATCCTTTTGGGATAAAGAAAGATTAATCATCATCTTTTGCTCAAACTCAAACGTATTTCTATTTTTTATTTTTAACAATTCTGTATTAGTTTTAGTTTCAACTTGGCTGGTAGATGGAAAATTTTACGAATATATATTTTGCAAATGAACAGTTTTGTCTAAAGTATAATATTTTTAATCTCATTTTAATATAAATAACTAGGCGATTGATGCCTTTGTTAAATTACTGGTACAATCAATTTATTTAGGGAAATGTTTATTTTCAGCAGATTTTCGCGAAAACGATGGCCAGACTACATAAAATAGTAATTGTGAGTCAACCTGTTGTAGTTTCAATTGTTGGAAAGAGGCCAAGAAATCCTGAAAAATTTGCGATTTCATGCGAGAGACATATTATTTTTACTTTCTCATCTATTTATGAAGTTTGTATAGAATGTGGTTATATCGAGCATGGAGGTTTTACAAATAATACCCAGTCAAATCAAACAAACAAACTATAAATTATCCAGTTTGAAAAATTCCGCACTATTTGATTCCGGTTTTCAGGTTTATTTTCAAATGTTTCATTTAAGTACAGATGAAATATTTGCAGTGGAAGGAACCGAAATGCTGTAGTACTTTCCAAGTTACCGAACAAAATACCATAAAAATGCTTAATGAAAAAAAATTGAATAAGCTCTGAAATGTTTTGTCACTAGTCAGCCAATAATATTATTAAAGTTTACTTTGTCCAGGTTTAGTTGCTTTAAAGGAAAATTGTTTAATTTCCCCTGCTTGCAAAATTGAATTGATCAAGAAAATGTTGACAATAATTGGGCCGTGAGTTTATCCTCCAATAAATAGATCATTGAACGTACACTATAATTTTCCTCATTGAGTTTTTCATGTTTGCCAGTTTTTCCTGTTCATATGAATGGGCGGCGACGAAAATTCGCGTTAGTTGAAAATCGTATTTTCTCGAGTTCAGATAGTAGTCGGCGCTAACAACAGGTGTATAGCAGCTATTGATGTAAAAATAAACGGCATTTTCGAAATTAATTTTTGCTATTGTTAGCTATGTGTCCTTTGATAGTGGTTTATTGGTGAATGGCAACGTTATTGTTCAATCAATATGCAAAGAATTTTAAGTGTTGAAACGAGCAGGAATGTGAGTCAAGCCAATTCGGAGTTTGTCACCAAAAGATTTTGTTGCAGCTTTCTATTGACTGTGGCTTTTTTCTCTATAGTAGGAGGTTAGTAAGTTGCTTCCAGCTTTTTTGATTTTTTCAATAGCTAATATATTGAAACAAACTTAACCAGGTGGAATTTAAGTTTGCTCTTGGAAAATGTAAAATTTTCTCACATTTTAGTTAAACAGCGCGCTTTGTATTGGCCTGGTTTTCGATTGCTGGAAAACATTTAAAAGTTAATTTTGATCAAATTTACTTTAAATTTTGTTTTCCTACTAAAAAAGTATTAGATATTGGTTTATTTATTTATGATTTCATAAACACGTAACTAAACTCAGATGGACTTAATGATTTTACGCTTTCAAATAGGAAAATTGCAAAAACACACTATAAATAATTATTTTCTAATGTACCTATTTCTTTTAAAATAAATTATGTTGGCCTGCACGTTTTATATTGTATATAAAGCAGATGCAAGTTTACGTAGAGCTAGAAGGAAAAGTTGCCATTATTTAAAAACAAAAACAAATAAAATTTAAATGCTACAAATTATATCATTGTGTTGCACTTTTGGACGTTTTTTGGTTGATTTTTAATACATAAAATATTCAGAGAAACTGTTAGGGGTGGTAGATAACAGCACAAAAAGTATATTATTTTGATCGGAAACGTCGCCTTTGTTTTATACAAAATTTCCAATTTTACCTGTATTTATATTTCGAAAAAAGTGCATTTTTCCCCTTCTATTTCTGAAGCAAAGACTATTCTCCTGATACCGTCTACTACCCATAAAATACACATAATTTCCTGTATTATTTTGCAATTATCCTGTTTGCAGGATTTTTGCTTGGAAAATTCGTCTCAGATCGAGCACTTGAGGACATGATCCGAGAAATGTACCAGGTGACCACGAAAGTTCAAATACTCAACATCAATCTCCAGGATGTATTCCAATCTGGCCTCAATCTATCCATTAGTGAAGACTATATCTTCCTGCATTGCAATTTCCTTGCCATTGGAAGGAATAACACTGGAATGCTGGCAGCAGCGGTGTATTTGACCGACTTGAATGAATGCTTTAACAATGGTTGATATGGAAGATCCTATAGAAGCGGATTTGGAGCAATTTGTGCAACATTTTCAAACTGTTTGGAGTGTATTTGTGACTGGAAGATTCGTTGCTTGGTTTAAACCATATCCAAACACTTTTGTTAGTTTTTTACTCCAGTTTCAGATAAAAAATTTGCAGAGTTGTAACTTAGTGTTTTATGTACCTATGGTTTGTTTGCAGCACTTATTAAAGGATTTTTTTAAATGTATGCACATTTATTTTTAGACTATATGTGATTATAAACTGTTTTGAAAGCATGGGAACAAGTTGATATAAGTCAGTACAAACGTTGTCTAATTCGGTTAAGAGCTCCACCCGTTAACGCCAAAATCCATAATTTGTTGCTCTGTTCTACTTTCTAATTAGCTTGCGCTGACATTCGTTGATGGGAAAAATAATGGGTGTTTTTACTTTTATGTGGAGTAATTATTGTTATGGCATGCTTTGCATTTATCAGGAATGAAATGGAGTCCTTTGCTCATACAGGATTTTCGGTTATAGAACGAATATTTCAGAGGCAGAATAATATGTTTCACATATTAATTTTCATAGAAAATTTAGGAAGTTGAAGTAAATATGTAATTTTTGTTTTTTATATATTTTTTTAAATTTAAATAGGTTTGAAATTATTTTCTATTAAAATGAATGCAATTAAAAATTTTAAAATGCGATGGATTTTTGAATCTAATACATTTTATTGTACACTAAGACTTTTAATTTGGATCTTTAATTCAAATACTCAACATTTGTAATTTTTTCATTTGCATCACATTTTACACTTTTTATCGTCGCTTGGCATATTAAAAACCTAGTATCAGTAAAAAAAATTATTCTGTAATATATAAAAAATTTAATGTGCCATGGAGGAATTTACAAGAACAAATTCACTAATCTTGTTGCACGGGGAAAATGCAATATATTTTAACCACTATTTCAGATGTAAGTGCTCGATGTGCTTTCGTAGGGTAGAATTTGGAGTTATATGGGCTATTTTTCCCGACCGTTACGCCACTGGAGAAAATTGTAGTTTAAATGCTCAGTTTGAAAGGGCGTTGGTTTTTCACGATAAATTGTGTGTGTAAATTGTGTATTTTTTTTATCCTAAAATGTCACTTTTCCTTTAAAACGGCTTAGACTATAGCTGTTGACTAAAGCTACCTTTTTTGTATAGAAAAATATAGCCTGTCACAATGTATTTTAACATTCAATTCAATTCAAATTGCTGAGGAACTTTCGTCAAGTGTGTTTGGGTCACCCCATATCGATTGTCATTATTACATAAAAATTTGCTTAATTAGAATAATTTTCTATAACGAAGGCCGATGTTTTATTATGTTATTTAGAACTTGACATCATAGTTATTTCTAAAGATCATAATATATTTTTTACCTGTGATTACAGAATATTTTCCATTAAATTCCTAAATGTATTTTTTGTGATTTTATTTAAAACTAATAAATTAATACAAATTCAAACCGATTTTATTTCATTACGTATTCAGAAACGCTGATTGTATTACCCTGAAATATCGGCGTTAATTTTTTTTATTTAAATGAATCATAAAACTTCACTTCATATAATTTATGAGAATTCTGACTTGTGCGATCTGTTCAATCGAATATTCGGGCCCCCGTATCACAACTAGCAAATTACTTAATTAATTTATATTGTTTCTTTTCAGTAAAACAGGCGATTCAAAAACCTGATTTCTTAATGCTTATTTTAAATTAATGGTTGATACACAGGGTGATGCGTAGAAATCTGCCGTCATAACTTTCCTAAGCCTAAGTTCATAAGCCAATTTTTTATTTTTTATTCTTATCAGTGGATTTACTACTTACTTAGCGAAGTATTCCATAATGCTTAAACATGAAAGAAAGTGGTAATTTCTGCATTCTTTTTTATATTTATAATATTTGGAAAAATGTTCCTAATGAATTTGAGAAAACAATCGATATTGAATAAATCAGTAGAGCATACAAACATTTTATTAAATACATTTGCATACACGTTTATCGGCTATTTAAATTATCTATAAAGTACTTAACAAAATAATACATAGAATCATGGTTAATTTTACATTTTCTGTAAATAGATGTGCAGTTTCTACCTTCAACTCCATATTGAACGGCTTCTCTGAATACCGAATTTAGCAAGTTGGTTTGGAACCAGTTGCTACTTGCGATGCCATCGAAAATTTTATCGGTACTGGAACCTCTGCCTAAAAATAATATATTGTCTTAAACATCTTATAATAATTGACAAGTAAAACAGTTCAAGTGCACTTTTTATGAAGCAAAATTGTAAAGTGAATATCATTCTCCATAGTAGAAAATTCAGTTTATAAGATATTTTAACATATTTTTTATATTTACTGAAATTTTAAAACATGAGGAAGTTTCATTTTGATTATATCAGAACAATTTCAAACGGGCTTAAAACGTTTCACTAGTCCCTTCAAGTCTTAATTTATCGGACATTAATACATGACATCCAATATAATACAATTAAATGAAGAACTTTAAGTTTGCCCATACAAARAATACGTGCCGCATCAATAATTATRTGAACCTGAAATTGAATATATATAATAMKATWYAAWATCATTAATGAAGYTATTSGWMTYTMTSACKATTKAWTTATAWTCTTATTTTGTARRCMTKYTKCWKAAGAAAMSTSAGGAATWTAAAYATTGTCTCCCATTTGCAAGTTTCAAAATTCACACAGCACGTAAAAACAACTAACACATTTTTTTAGTCACAAGGAACTTTTAAAAAATCGCAATTGAAAAAAAATATCGTGTTTATTTGCTTTTCTTGGAAACAGCGAAGCATAAACTGAGCCACTTGGTTTCAAATATCTGGTCAGCCTGCTTCCATGCTATCAACAACTTATTTTTACGTAAAAACAAAAATTTACATGAAGTTAAGGCATTCCTTTGTCTAGATATACAATCAAGAGATTTACTAATGGGAAAATTATACATCTATTAATCTAAATTAATATTTCAAACAAATTTTTCATTTTGATGAATATCTTTTACCTTCAGCAACTTTTTGCGACGATTTTTTTACCGTCCAACACGTTATTCTTTGCGAACAAGAAGTAACGTCTATATCGTTTTCTAAGAGTGAGTTGTCGATTTCCGTTAAATATTTCCACAAGTGTGAAGTTTCACCTAAAATAAAATTCAAATTATGCATTAATTCAAATTCAATTCAAATAACGATTACACAATGAAAAGTTTCACGTTGCTGCATAGTTTTTTACCATATTTTAATAATGTTTTACTCGAATTTTATAATTTATCGTAAATTAACTCAAGGCTATTTAGGGTAGCTAACAAATTGAACCAAGCAACACTCTTAAAATAATATAAAAAGTATAGATTGTAAAATGACAACAATGATAACCAAAATCCGCAGTAGAATGTAAAAAGCTTGCTTAATAGCTAATGAAACGTATGTTTATTATATTAAAATGTATAGAATGTTTTTTAAGTTTTAGTAACAATTGGTTTTTTCGATTTGGCTTTTTCTAGAGATAATTTTTAAAATGGGGATTCTTTCTTAGAACTAGCGCTTTTCAGATTTTTACTAGTTGGTCTTGGCTAGTGTTCTTCCCAAAAATTTTAATTTGATCCTAATTTAATTAATTAATATAATTAAAAATCATAAATATTACCATTGGGTGTTAATATCAAATCGCCTACTAGACATCTTCCAAAGAAACACAGTTTATTATAAGGTGCGCGTAAAGCATGTTATTTGTCCATCCAAAGCTTTGCGTTTCAAGAAAAAATTATTTTTTAGTCTTAAATAAATTAAACATTATTAAAGTTTTTGATAAAAAAATGTTCGTACAGGTTGATATTGATGGACCATTTTCAAAAATATCGAAAATAAATTAACGTTATAGGATATAAAAAACAAACTAACCCGAATGTGAAAATAACGTAAGTAAAGTACTTAACACTAGCAGTTCAAAGTGTAGTGCTCACAAAAGAGCACCATCACTA